GGTAGATAGATAGATTAGATAAATAGATAGATAGATAGATGTAAGTTAAATATAAAACACATATAAGTTAAAAATATCAGATCACAATAAATAAATCGAATCTCGAAAAACGAATCAAGAATTGATGCTGACTGATAAATCATTTGAAATTAAATTTTGGTTGAGTCAGTTAAATTAATAGATAAATAACAATAATAATAATAAGTCATTCTTGTAATTTTACATGAAATATAATTTCCAACAAAAAAAAAAAGAAAGAAAAAAGTGGGGTAACAATGATAGTGAAAAAAGAGCTGAATAAGAGAGAATGTGCTGAAAAAGGAAAGGGAGTGAAAAGTGAGGGTAAAATTATTGAAATAAAATATGAAGAAGACGGATGAAATGAGTGAAATGAGCTAAATAATACTAACAGATAAAAAAGTATTTTGATTCGCTGAACTAATTTTTGCCGATTATCTTCTACACACAAAATAACTATTTTATGTGAAAATATTCATTTTTTTTATATGAATTATAACAACAAATTTTATATCAAAAAAATGTTTTTTTCTTCTTTTATTAATAAATGATTTGAATAATTATTAAATATTAATTAGCAGAATTGGAATAATTATTAGAAATATTTGAATGATTAATTATTTGTCTCAATATTATTTTTGCATATTTCTGCATATCTGTGAAATTTTTGTGTATTTCTCAATATTATTTTTGTATATTTCTTTTGTTCAAGTTATAGCATTAATTCCTTGATTCAATTTGTAATGAAATGAATTTAATACTGAACGCAAACAGCATTAGGGAGCCTTCAATAAGTTAAAAAGGATAAATAAATTTTTTAATAAATTCAAAATCTTGTATAAAGAAAGAAGAAAGATGAAAATAGCAAGGAAGTAATTAAAAATGAAGAAAAAGAAAAGGAGAGAGAGGGAAAAGAGAGGGAGAGGGAGGGGGAGAGAAAGAAAAATTGATAATAAAATTTGGACAATATTTTGAACAAAATTTTATTTTTGTTGTCAAATGATAAATTACAACTTTCTTCTTCTTCAGTAAAGGAACAAAAAATAAGGAAGAAAAGGAAAGAAAGCAAGTAATTAAATATGATATTAGCAAAGTAAGAATTAAGTCATCTTTTTTTCAAGGTTAATCAGTTGAAATCAAATACGGTAAAGTAATTCAATTTGATGAGAAAAATTAAATAGGACCAATTTCGTTCCTATTTAATGACAAATTGATAATTATGAAATTGTAATTTGGTCAAGCTTCATAATACGGAAATAGCGAAGCACGGTATAACAAGATTATTAATTCTAATTAGAACCAAAATCTATTTCATTTGATTTTTATTTGCTTTTTTTTCTAAAAAAGAATTATAAAAATATAAATTCAATTCAGAAGAGTTAGTTTTTAATAAAATTAATAAAAGTCTTTTATAGAACAACTGATAATGTCAGCACTTCAATAAATTTTTATTCAAAAACTAAAATGCTTAATTTTTGAAACGGTTTTGAATTTCTAACTAATTTTATTCAATTATTTTTCACAAAAAACTATTTGCATAGTGTTTATTCATGAATAATTATTATTTTCTGCTTGTTTAAATTGATCATTACAAAAATAAATTATTTGTTTTAATGATATGACGTCACTAAGAAAATTACTCTCATTTATTACTTTGTTTATTCTCCTTTTAATCTGTTGTCAGCAAGTTTCCTGGCAATTTTTACCCATGGCCCAACTTTCCACAACAGATCAACAATTTTTAACTTCAATGAGAGATTGATTAGCTTTTCGAATTAAAATTTTATTTCTTCACTTTATTTTTCCTTTCTTCTGTGTATTGTTTGGAAACTTTAAATTTGCATTATTTTAATTTGTTGTTGCTTGTTAATGTGTTCATATATTATTAGCTTTAATCTTGTTGATATAAAAATTTAAAAAATGATAAATTTTGTTTCAAATAACAATTTTTGTCAGATTTGAAATGCTACATATCATTCATTTTCGATTTAAAAATAATCAGTGTAATTAATTATCTATTTTTACTAAATGGAAATTCATTTCGAAGAATTTCGAAACAAATTACCTTATCATTAATTGGAATTTTACCAGTTATCATGCTATTTGATTCTCTTCATCGAGTTTTACATTTCGATATTTTCAAATTATTAGTGTTAATTTAACATATTTGTTCGTAAATTTGAAAAAATTTAGCAAATATGACGAACAAATGAATTCATATTTAATATTTTAGTATTAAAAAACTTTTTCAATTTCCATATTACCAATTTAAAAAAAAATGCTCTTTTTTCGCAAAAAAAGATTTTGGAACTTAGTTTTTTGAATGTAAAAATTAATAGTTTGTAAAGTAGACAGTTGCAATTTCGATGTACAACCAATAATAATTCAGCAATTTGTGCTACTTAAAAAAAAAAAAGAATGCTAAGTACGGCTGAGAACGAAAACAAAATTTCCCAAGGAAACAAAAAAAAAAGGAATAAATTTTAACAAAACAGACTTTAATGATAAATGTTCATCGTATGTTTCCTTGTACGAACAGTCTCATTTTTTATTTACGTATATATCTTATAAAGAAATGTAAACTTTCTGAAATGAAATTTTAAACTAATCGATCTATTTTATAGTATAAATTCACTATGTCTGTTAAAAAAAAAAATGAAGAAAAGCATTAGGGAAGATTGTTAAAACAGCTGTCGCTTGCCGGATGGATTACTCTGAATTCTGCAATCAACACTACTTAAAAAATCCCATATTTATCGCTATCGCTTTCAGAAATTTTCTTTCAAATCAACATTTTTAAAATCAATTGAAATAATTATTTTCCAAAAATTTCAAACATATTGTTTTGATTCTCAAAAAAAACTTATTAATGAATTAATATGATTTCCATTCTCAAAATTTGTATTGTCGTGATTATTATAAGTTGTAAAACATAAACAAAGTAGTTGAACTTCAACATTTTTAGTCAGAAAAAATTCCAAATAAATTGATTGAAATTGCATATTAATTACTGCATTAAATTCGATATTCCTATTTATGTTTAAAATATTTTACTTGCAATTATTCATGTGATCAATAATAATCTTGATAGAAAGGTCTTTTTTTTTTCCAAGTTCTCTTATTTTTCCAACTTTTAATTCGTATCTTTTACTTTTGTTGGGGTAAAATATTTCATCAAAAAATTTAGTCAGTTCATAACATCATTTTTTATTATACGAAATAAATATCATTATTCGATAAATGTTATCATTATTAAAATAAATGTGCAATTATTTCTCTCTTTTTTTTCCCCTCTTTTTTCATTTTCATATAGCCTGTCAATTGATATTATATGATTTGATGAATAATCGTAAAATTTCATATTAATATACATCTTTAATCTTCGGCCTTTTATATGCATTCCTCATAAATTATTAACGACTACGATTTCAGATTCTAAATTGTTCAATTGAATTTTTTAAAAATTGAATAATTAAGAAGAAAAGAGAAACAGAAACAATGAAAAGTGTGTCACAATCGGCATCCAAAGCAGTCATTTCTTATATTCATAAACTCATCCAGACTAATAAATTTTCTCACCTGATTGCGCTTATTTATGACAGCATTTTGGAAAATTCCAGCAAACCATTCTTGAATAAGTTTGTTTTCACTACATAATATAATTTAATTGCTTCCATCATTTTATACATTATAATTTTACTATAAAATTTTGCAGTATTATTATTGTTTGATATGTATATCATATCGTGAAAATTCTTTTTTCACGCTGAAAAAAATTGGTACATATCAATATTAAAATATTTTATAACATAAATTTAAAGAAAAAAAAAGCAAGCGATAGTAAGAGGAATGCATTGAAAAGTGTAACAGATAAGAATTATAATTAATAAAATGAAAAAAATCAATGTGTTGAAACATTTTTAACATAATTTCACTTAATAAATAAATTTACCAACATACATTGACTTACATTTAAATAAAAAAAAAATGATATTTAAATTTTATGATTTATATCAAAAATAAATTTTTAAATCCAATCATATTTAAAATCCAATCCTATTACTCCTACAATTTAATTCTAGTGCTTAATGATATTTTAATAATTTAATTACGAGAGTATGATTGCAGAGCACAAGTTGAAATTGTCCTTTCATTGCTCTGCTTACCGAATCAACAAGTTCCAAACATTGTAAATTATACTGATCTTTGCTTATTGCTTAAGGATGCTTACGATGAAAAATTTGGAAAAATGTCAAGTAAATTTTCTTTTCAATCAATATAAAAGTTTAAAATTTTAAACTTATTTCAAATTGTTTTTCTTTTTCTTTTTTCCTATATGATTAATAATCATCTGCATTTTTTTTTTCTTTGTCTAGATAAAAATGACGAAAGTTTTTCAAAATCTGATGACAGTTGGGATGAAGAAAATTTAGAAGAAATGGAAGTTCTCGCAACATTGAATTCATTTCGTAATAAAACTCATACTCAATGTCCGGATATTTTCAATTTTATTCGACAAGAAAATTTAGTAAATGTTTTAAAATTTTATTATATAATCATATAGAAATTATAAATTAACGAAGATTTACTTACCAAATTAGTCTTTTCAAAAATTTAAAGAGGGAAAAAAAGAGAAAAAACGAATCATTTCTCTTTGAATTACAATTTAAGGTATACTTACTAATATGTGCAATAATCAAATATGTCATTTGTTCCTTTCATTTCCATTTCCTTCCTCCTCTATTTTCTTTAAAAAAAAAAAATTAAAAAATTAAAAAATTGTCAGTCTCGCTGTATGAAAAGCGATGAAAAATGAAAAAGATAATAATATGAGGAAATTCAAACTCTCCAACATATTCACTTATCTTCAGATTCGCACAGTAATGAGGCAAGCATGGCGATTGCAAAGGTTAAAAAGAGATTTGCATGAAATTGAACAAAGGATGAATTATTTGGTAGCTCATTTTATTGGTGAAAAGTAAGAATGTAATTTTTTATCGCTGTTTTTTTTTTCAGACTTTGAAATAAAAAAAAAATTTTTTTTTTCAAATGTTAAACAAATTCATCAATAATTTTAATGAAGTGAATTCAAAGTTGTTTTTCAGTTTAAAGAGTTGGAAAAAATTTTAACTGTCCGGTATGAATAATAATGAATATAGTTGATTGAGAAAATTTTACTGCAGGTATTGTGCATTTCGAAATGGTGAATATTCGGAATGTGATTCAGGTTGTCATACGGATCGAAGCAGTTCGTCAAATAATTCAATAACAAAATTATTTACAACAAGGTATACCATTATTAGACTATTTATTTATCAAATGTTATTGGAATTTAATTTATTTAGTTTATTTAAATAATATTTTTTTCTTTGACATATTTAATAATGAACAAATTAATTGAATAAATATTTCAAAAGAACAAAAGAAAAGCCATTAAAAATATCTTTTCTTTTTTCTTTTTGTTTAATTTTTACAGGAGAGATGAAATAAATGAATTGCAAGCAACCGGTCAAAATTTTTTAACAATGGATGATAATCAGCGATACATCGGGATTAATTCATATCAGAAAGTTGCGAAATCTTTGAATGAATTGAAAAAATTATCATCCAATGGAAACATTTACATCAACAAGCGATCCACTTCTTCCACATCTGTTCGTGACGTACAAAAATCAAACGATTTCCCATTATCAATCAATCAAATATTCGATAATATGATGGTGGAAGATGGAAAAATGTCAAGAATTAAATTAAACCTAAAAAAATCGATGGATGTTTCATTTACCGTTAATCATAATTCATCAAATGTTAAACTAAGAACTAACAATTCATTATCAAATGATACGAATCAAATCAGTCAACATGATGGTATATCAATGCGTATGACGCAATCAGTGATTGGAACAAATCTATTGCCAAATTTTAAAAATAAATTTGTAAAATTACAACTTAAAACAAATTTTGAATGTCATGATTGTAATGAACAAATTGCATGCAAAAAAATTGAAATGAAAAAATATATCGAATTTGATATATCAGCATTTTGGAATAAAAAATAATTGATCAAGTGTACATTTATCATCGTCCAGAGATTACTATCTCTTACCAATATATTTTACAAAAAATTATGAAAGGATTAAAAATGGGAGAAAAGAAGAAAGGGAAGTCAATAAATGGGTGAAATGAAAGTACAAAAGATAACGACAATTTTTTCACATATATTACTAAATTTCATTGTTGTTATTGATTTTTAAAATTGATCAATCACTTTAAATCGAACAATTTTAGTATTATTCCAGTGGAAGACTATAATGTACTTTTCACCAATCATTCATTTCGCCAGTAATCCATTCTTACTTTTTCTTTTATAATAATTGAAAGATTGATTTATTTTTCTTGGTATTCTATCGTATATCAGTTAACTTGCTTACTTTTTTCCGAAGGAATAATATTCTAACCTCCTGCTGATTCTGATCAATCTTGATCGTGAAGCAAATCCGGAAAGGTTTGTTCTCAGGAATTCCTGATGAGGAAAATTAGTAGCAGTATGGTACTGAATTAATGACTAAAGATAAATTAAAGCACATCCCATCATTAATCTCAAATGCACTTTTATAAAGATATTAAGGCTTGGGAAATTGTCACAGCGAGACTGTGCTTATTAGATAGGCCGTAAAAGTGCGGGTGGTCAACATTTATGTGACGGTGTTGAGGTTAGTGGTTAATTTTAGAATTAGTGACTTGGCCAGATTCGAGATTAATGGCTGTTCCTTCTACATGGATGCTACAAAAGCAAGAAACATTTCAGGGAAAGATATTGTCTGATCTTTCTGGATAAGCGTGAGAGGAACGGAAAAATATTTCAAAATTCATTAGGAATTCAATAGCCAATAAGGATCCTCCCTTTTCGTCGATAAAACTAGTTCTTGCAATGAAAGACGAGTTGTAGGTTATTTTCAAACACGTATTAGATTACATTTTATAGTTTTGAATTTTCCAGTGTGGTTTATGAGGTTTAAATTTTCCACATATGTTGCAAGTTGTGTAGATAAATCACTGCTGTTTAAAACTATCATTAGAACGGTGGAATGTATAAACCTGATCAGTACAGGGATAGCATATCCTGGCAATCGTATCGAGCCGTTCCTTCACTATGCTCAGTGGAACAAAGGTATTTCTACCATTTATATATCACTTCGGTAATATCATCTGAGGATTTTGATTTTGAGGTGATATTTCATGGAATAATGCAAGAAGAGGACTTATGGTTATTCTATAGTATGAGTATTACAGATATTGTTTCAGGATAGCGTTTTTTAAACTACATCATATGGAAGTTCGTTTATTTCTCCGTTTATTCTTTTATTTTTTCAGAAGTTGGGAAAAAACAGAACCAATTTCGAAAGCTTGGTTACGCTATACTATATATACCTGTAATATTGTGATAGTGGTCAATATTTTGTGTTAATTTTTATTAATTCGTATATTGTAACATGAATAATTTTTTGCTGACATTTTATAATGATTTTTTCGTTGAAATATCAGAAGAGAAGAGACTAGTCAAAGATTTCTTCAAGATCTTTCTGAATATTATTATTCAAAAACAAACAGACGATGGTATTTTTAGGTTGCTGGCACGGCATCGTTAGCTATGGGAGCATGGCTTCGTACTGATTCACGATTTCGGGATTTCCTGTCTCAACGGTACAGGAATGTTGTTGAGGAAGCATTTTGGCAGGTAATTTGTTTCATATTTGCGAATTTGGCTGTATTTGCATTAGGCATTTTTATTTTTAAAGCTAAAAGTAGCTAAAAATGATTGTTCTCAAGATGTTGAACATTTATTTTGTTCTTAATTTCTTCTTGTTTATATCACTAGGTGTCAGCAGTAAAATAAACGGTGATTTTGAGTAGTCAGTCAGAATAATTTGAAATTACAAAAATTAAGAACACATTTATAGGCTCCAACTTTGTACGTTTTCTCCTACATTTTGATTGTCATTGGAATGTGCATGGTGCTTATTAGTGTAGTTGGTTGCTGCGCCGCATCTACCGATTCTCGAATACTTCTCTTAATATATGCTGTAGCTGTATGCATTCTCATGCTGTGCACTATTTCCTCAAAAACTTACCTTATCTTCAAAAAGTATAGTGTAAGTTTCTGATTTTTCCTTGTTTTTAATTGGAAGTCTTTAATGTGTTCATTTGTAAGAAATTCTTGTAGATTGATGTTGAAGTATCGGATGCGTTAACATATATGGTCCAAAATTATTATCAAGGAGCAGGAATTGTTCAGGAAAGCCTAGATAGATTGCAACAAGCATTCCGATGCTGTGGTATATTTTTGTTTCCAGTTATTTGTTATTTCGGTGATATTTCTCAAGCTTTAAAAATTTAATTTATTGATGATTTGATCTTCAACATCGCTTCAACGTTGCTTCCAAGTTATTGCGAGATTTTCACATGTTGATGTTATCTTTTGTCAGTTCTCAGATTTCAATATATTAATTGTAACTGGTAACCTAATTTGAATTGTTTCATGTGATGTTTTGTAATTTTGTCATCTATCATCATTTTAACGTCAACTGGAAGTTAATGTAAAAAAATGTTAAGGTAACGCGGGCTGTAGTGACTTCCGGTTTCTACATCAAGATACTCCGCGTTCGTGTGATATCAGGTGTGATGGTTGTCATTATCGTATAATGGTTGCATTGCGCATGGGTTTTTCAATTGCATTCGTTATTTTTGCCATCGTTGTTGTAGCCGAGGTTTGTTATAATGTCGTAAACATCCATCATGTTTCTGTCAGATATTTGATTCTTCTACATATCAAAAATTCATTTCCAAATTTCATGAATGCTGACACAGTACCGACAAAATTTGTTCCTTTTAAAATAAGTTGTTTGTAGCTTATCGCAAGCATATCTGCAATGATCCTCATAATGAAACCAAGAAATTCAACGGGAGTTTGGTTGGATAAAATGGGGTCCCGCAGAAGTCATTACGGGAACAAGTATTACTGGCGTGGATCTGATCAGTATGTAGATTTGAATTCGCTGCGAAGTGAAGATTGTCCCGTACCTGATCACCATCATTCTGAACATATCGCTCCATATCAAAAATACTAAGGCATTGTAATTATTCCAACACATTTCAAGTTTTTTGATTAATTTCAATTATTTCTTATAAAAACAATTTGCCAAGCTTTTTTCTGGAGAATGATTCTTGTTAGCGTTATGCATTTTTCCTTCTCGTTGATTGTTCTAAAATCATGTGGCTGTGAATGGCAATTAGCCAAAAAAAAACGGCGAAACTTATTTCCTGTGTTCATTTTCTTTATGCCTTATTTGTATTTCACTACACCAAAATCATTTATTTTTATATCAGTCAGTTATTTATATCTAATGATATTTTTTTACTCATGCTTTGGACGGCGTCATGTTTTTTATTGTGGCATGTTACTGTGAAGAATTTTTTGATTCTCTTGTGATTAGCAATCTACATATCATCGCAGATATTATCAGTTTTTTCATTTTTTATTTGTTTCTACATCTTTTTCATTTACTACTTTGTTAGGTTAGTCCATGTAATACTGTGATTAGTATTAGTACCTTTAATTTCATATTTCACATGCTGTATTTGTTGTTTTAATGATATAATTTTTTTATGTAAACAGTGGAATTCGTTGTTCCATTGTTGCTTTGATTGCTACCTGTTCACTTCTTGCTTTAATTTTGTTGTATTGTCCAATCTATCTCTCGCTATGTTCGTTATCATTTCATTGATTTTCACACATTATTTTTTTCATTTTTGATAACTAATTTTTATTCTTCGAGATGCTTTACTGAAATCTGGTTATAAACTGCGCAGTTGTCTTTTTTTACATTCTTTCAGCGCTGCCATTGTTTGTTTTTTTTTTCTAAAAATTTTGTTCGTATCAGTAATTTTCGTTGAGTAAACAATCAGAAAAATTGGGACAACTTTTGTAGGATGATATCTAAAAAAAACGAAAATTTTAGAAAATCATCCTACAAAGATTGTCCTAATTTCAATAATTGCTTGAAGCTTGAAATTTTTATTTTGCATACAATTTTGTATTTTGAAGAAATCACTGTTTACTCAGCAAATCGCTTGTGGAGGATTTCAAAACAGCATTGCTGTAATGTTAAAAACTAACGAAGTGTTAAATCGGTCGTTTTGTATATTTCTTTGATGGGTACATAGGTTGAAGAATTGCGCCGAATATTTAAACCAAGAATTTTATTTGAGCGGCATTCTAAATTTGAGGACGCGTAGGAACAGGCGTTTTATTTGAGCGGTGGTATTTGAATTCGAGAACGCATAGAAGAAAGCAGAAGAAAAGGAGGGACGAGGTGCCTTTTTTTGATTTATCTTCTCCACGTGATTAAAAATGTTTGCTTTTTCATCCATAGTTTTGGACCGGTTCTACTGGTTTCTTCTACCAAATATTTTTCGCTCTGAATCTCTTTCTATGAATGTTTCACTTATTTAATTATCCGGGATATCCTGTGATTGAAAATTCTCTATTTTTTCATCTTCATATTTCTACTTTATCATGACCTTTCTCTGTTATTTTGTTATCCTTAATGCATTTATATAAGTAGAATGTATTATTTAAGCGTAACCGATGCTTTTGAGCGTTAGTACGCCAAACACAACAAAGTTCCTGTATATCACCATGGCATATTATTATGATATTAATATTTTAAATTGATTTATGTTTCTTTAAATAAGAACCGATTGCATATTCCTTTTTTTTTGGTTTGTATAGCGGAATATGACCACACGATTTTCTTTCTTTTGATTTCAGTGATAGATTAATCATGTTTCCTGTTTTTATGGCTGATTTGACATAAATTTTGAAAATTTCTGATGGCTTCTTCTGATGACAGGCATAGATTTTATGAAATGGGTGAAGAAGGAGATACACAATCCCAACCGGCAACAATATGGCATGGAGCGAGCTTAAGGGACAGTTTCTTGACGGTTGTTCAGGTTTTCTGCTTTCTCAATTTTGTGTTCAGAGCATGACAAAACACTGACATAAATATTTTTTAGGTTTCCGTCTGCTGTTCCTATTATGATCTCAGCAATGTGATAAATGAGATAAAGTAGCCTATTGCCACCATGAATAGTCATTCTTTGTGTTTTTTACATTTGTTATTTACGTTACAGAACGCTGGATCTCAAGAAATGCGAAATGGATTTGTGGAGGATTTCAGAACAGCGTTGGATATGCTGGCACAAGCTGCACCTGCTACTAGTATATCATCGATTGAAGCGGGTACCAATATTTAGCGTACACGATTACTGAATGATGGTTAGACAGCTCTAAGACATACTTTGGACTAAGCTCTACCCTTTCCTGTTTATTCTTTTTTGTAATGATTTAATGAAGACTTTGGGTAACTCAGAAGTTCTAAAAAGCAAAAAGTATGCTATAACTAGTTTTCCTTCCGATCATGATTTTATCCAAAAATTCTTTGTTATATTCCGGTCATTTTTCAAATTTTTTCATTTTTTTGTTCGAGTTTTCTATCTTCAGAAGGCAGAAATGATCGTGCAGACACAGTGATCGTTGTGGATGAAGATAGTGCGTCAAGTACTTCTTCGGGTTCTGGTACTAGGCATAGGCTTACTCCAAATGTTAACGCAAATTTCTTTGGAAGATCGATAAGTTCGTAAATTAATTTTTTTCACCGTGTCTTTTAAATAAAAATGAGCTTTTTTGAAGAAACTACGGAAAGCTCAACCATTTTGGATTCGAAATTTTGTATTAATTATAGTTGATGGAACCGATAATAGTGACGAATATTCCTCAACGAATGATGGCAGTACAAGTACGAATTTTCACAGGGAATTGAGTCGTTTAAGAGCACTTGCTCAGAGTGCTGAATTCCAACGAGTGAGTCCGAAGTCTATAATATTTGAATTCTAAATACGATATCTTTTATCGTATAAATCCTTGTGAAGTAGTTAACACCTTCGGTTTAACAAAAACCAATGAAGTGCGAAAATTTTCCAGTTTTGATGAATTGCACAACATTGGTAATGAAAGTTTTGAAGGAATTATTTTGTATTTTTCGCATTTGATTTGAAAACTTTGTATCTTTTTTGAAACTTGTTATATTTTGCAGTTTTGGGTACTGCTGCTCAATGTTTTACCCTTCTTCATCATTATATTTTTCAAAGCTATTGTTGATGGGTTCTTTTCACTGCTAAGCCTTTTGACAGCATTTTTCCTTTTTCATATTGCGAACAGCACTTTTATGGCTTCTCGAAGGTAATTTTTTGCTATCTTTAAAAATTCTCTTAACCAAGCATTGTGATTAGAGAATGAGATTTCGAATAATTTACCACTTTTCGACAAATGTATACTAAATTTATAATATCAGTTCGAATTTTACTGATCTCATCAACTTTCAGGGAAAAGCGCTACTTTCATCTTTTGCAGTCATTCACATCTTCAGTTTTCTTTTTCAATTTCCATTCGCTTTTTTACGGTACGGATGCTTTTTGATTACATTATTGTAATGGGTTGGAAGGGCAATTATTCTTTGAGGACTGTTTTCATTTCAAATAAGTATGTAATATTTTCTTATTCAGGACTGGATTCTATTTATATACCAATGGCTTTTATGTCTCGCCTGGCGAATCCGATTACTTTTTTTGCCACATTACATGTTGTACTGGTCGTTGATTTTGCTGTTAAAATCATCACGGTCGTAGTGAAAGCTGGGGTACACTGCAATTATCTTTTAGTTTTCTTCAGCGGAATAAGTCGTTTTGTTATTTCCTGAGAGTAATTTTATGTAAAACATAATGGATTTCATGAGCTTTTGAGGTTGTGATGTTAATGTTTTTCTTTTGATGACAGGGATTTTGTTTCTCGATGATTATATGCATTCACTTGTTTTGTAAAAGTATCTAGCAGAAAAACTGAAAGCAAGAAATATTTTAGCTTTCCTGGGGCCTTTTTATCGAAATATGAGATCGGAAAAGGATTTGTAACCACTTTGCTGGATTGGGCAATTTTCAAAATCTCTCTCAGTTTTCATAATTTATTTGACTTTTAGCGTTTCTACTTTATTTTTGAGTTTAAAGTAATCAGCTTATATTTAGCTCACTATCTTGCCGACGAAATTCATTGGGAACAGACGTTTACGTCGACTTTTCCAATGGATTGAATATACTAGCCAGTTCTATCGTTATATATTGCCAATACCTCAGTGGACTCGCTATCTTAGTTATTCGCTTTTTTCCACTCCACTGACATATTTCGGTGATCATTTCTTCGCCGTGCTGTATGTAATTTATAAGGTATGTTAGCATTATTTAAAAGGAAAAAAGGATCATAAAACGAAAACATAATCATTTGGTCATAGTTTATGTTAACTTCTTTCAGGCATGTTTAATGCAAATAATTGGTAAACGTTGGTTTGAAAGTACACGTCGTATTTTTCGCCTTACATCTGTTGGTTCGAAAGTTTCAGTAGGTGAAGAAGATTCTGCTCAGTGTACAATTTGCTTCAATGATTTTTGCAATCCCATTAAGGTTTGTTCTTGTTTTTGCTTTGTTTTTTTTCTGGTTTAATCATGTTATAGTTTGAAGAACCAAGTTACTTAGTCATTCTGCTTCTGGTTTGTTGTTATGTACAGCAAAAAAATACATCAATCAAATTTGGTAGTATGGTTTGTTAAACTATGGTATTGATTCATTTAAGCTAAGTTTTTACTTTATTCAGGACTTCTTAGAAAGTTCTAATTTTGCAATCCGTATGGTCATGTGTTTAGTCAGCTTCTTGAGCAACTCATTTTCTTATATTTAAGCAATAAGATGTGCAATGAGGTTGTATTTGAATAGTATTTAAAATTTAAAATTGGTAGTGTTGTGCATTTTTTGCATTTCTGGACAGAATAGTTTGTGTGTGTGTGTATGTGTGTGTGCCCATGTATGTGTGTGTCCACGTGTGTGTCTATGTGTGTGTGTCTATGTATGTGTGTGTCTATGTGTGTCTGCGGTCTGTGTGCGTATATGTGTATGTGCGTGTATCAGATTCCCAAGCGTATTTTGAATATCTAACAAGAAACAGTAGAATTATTTTTGGGTATTTTACAGATTTTACCGGGATAACAAAACAATTTGGACAGTCAGTGAAATGTTTCCTCTCCTAGTGACGCTACTGTTCGGAGGTCATCCTCAATAAAGGTCTCAATTTGTTAATGATGTTATTACTTACAGCTTTCATGTGGACATATTTTCTGTGAAGAATGTATCGGCACCTGGCTGGATAACGAACATACCTGTCCAATGTGCCGAGCAACAGTTGCACAGGAAGATAATATGTGGAAAAATGGAGATACAACATATTCTCCTCAGTTGTGTTAATTGAACTAATAATTTATTTTCTACTATTTATCTTTTTAAAATGTATATTAAAATTATTTGCATATATCGGTTTTACTGAATGCAACATATTTTGCTAATGTCGCAACTACAGGTCGCCATAGTTTTATTTAGATGGCTTTCCAAAAGAGACAGCTTTGTTCTCCAAATTTTTCAAATTTTTGATAGTGTGAAAGAAAGAAGCATGATGCTTAATTAAATATAACTGCTGCTTAGTTGCGAAACGTAAAGTGTAAAATATTCAAGTATATAGAAATTTTTGCCAATATAATGCTACTGCTATGATCCTATGAGAAATCATATAGTTTAAAGATTTGTTTTGTTTACTAATTCTACATGTTTCTTTTTTGGAAGGGAATAGGTCGCTTGGAAGTTTTCATGATTTTGTAAAAAATATTTCAAAAATATTTGCTTTATGCGATTGTGAAAACTTTTTTTTTTTTTAAATGCCAATTGGAAGAGGATTTAAGACTGTACTAAATCAACGATTTTGATATGATGTTTGGAAAAAAAATTGATGCCTTCTGCATTTTCTTCAGGGTGATATATGTATCTGTTATTCGGGTTGTTGTTGTATTATCAGAAGTACCATTTTTGCTGTTCTTCATTGTCATCTAAAATCTGTGATGATTGAAGATTATATGAATCGTATAAAAATATGTCTTTTAAAATTTCTTTCTACTCATAATTAAGTTAAAGAAGCACTAGACCACTTTTTATTATGGGTTGATATGGATTAATCTCTTCAACGCTAAGTTCAGTTAGCAAAACGGATAATTCTAGTAAATTTCCTGTTCCAGACTAAGATTGGTATTGAAGTCGACAAAACTCGTGAATTAATATACTCCAGGAAATAATTTTCAAAACTTCTAAAACAAAAGTGAACTTAAGTTTGCAACTATATGCCTGATAAAATGATAAAATTTCAAAATTTTTGAGATGAATTCGTCATAGGCATTTTGCTAATATGGAAGTAGAAATATTTGCAATTAAATAATTTCCCGATTAAGTTTGGAAATATTTTTCAAAAACCAATGTGGCATCACTCCTTCATGAAATAGAAGTGATGGCCAGGCTGTTTTTTGAGTTTGACAATCCTGAAAGATATTCTCGACAATTAGGATTGATAGTGAGTGGACTTGAATGTATTTATGATATTATGCACATAATTTTCAATGAAGTTAATCCATAATCATTTAGTTTCTTTTGATTGATGCGATATCGGATGGTAAGAATGACGTCGTTGGACAAAGATGAAATAGAAGAAAGAGAAAAAAAAAATAAGAAAAACATTTAAAATTAATTTCTAGAAGTCGAAAGGTGTTCGTTTATGATGTATTTAATGCTGATATTAAAGATTGATTTAATTCTACATCATTCTCGAATTAAATGATGACTTCCTCGCCATTCTTCCAATTCCTATCGATTTCATTTCAGTTGTTCATTCAAATTATTACAAATTAAAAATATAGAAGTGAATAAAATTCTGAAAGAAAGTTTAACAATTTAAAAAAGGAGCAAGTATATTTTGATTATTTCAAATATAGTTGAAAAAAAAAAATTACTCAACATTTTTATTTTTTATCAACAAATAATTGAATATTTTACTGCTGTTCTATCCTGCAATATCTCTAGCAGTTCCAAAATTTAGGAATAAAAATTTTTCATTCAAAAAAAGAAAAATTTCATTCCTATATGGATACATTCATTGCTAAAAAATTTAAAGATTCATTAAACTCTTACTGAAAATGTTTTTTTCTTCTCTTTCCTTTTTCTCCTATTTTTTTTATTTTTTTTTTTTGCAAATAAATTTATACTATATGGAGGAATAAACTGCTTTCCCTTTTTTTTACTGCTTATATATTTTTATAAATTTACTGCATATATATTTTAGGAGTGTACTCTACAACAATGTAATTCATCATTTATGAATTTCTTTAAACTTGCAAAAAAAAAATCGAGATTTGAAATACTCTATTTTCAGTGTGATAGGTTTCCATAAATTTAGATTATTACAGCTCATTAAAAATCATTAAATTTTTCTCTGAAATAATTATCACTGTATCATTATATCACTATATTTTATTCACTATATTTTATTTGTTGTCACTATATTTTATGTTATCATTGTATTTTGTTATCATTATATCGCTACATTTTATTTACTATATTTTATTTGTTGTCACTATATTTTATGTTATCATTGTATTTTGTTATCATTATATCGCTACATTTTATTCACTATATTTTATTTGTTATCACTATATTTTATGTTATCATTGTATTTTGTTATCATTATATCGCTA